GGCTATTTGCCTTCTTCATCTTGTATAGGTAGACTTGAAAAAACCCGTGGCCTGTGAGGAATTGTGTGAGGAAAAAATTTGTTTCTCCAAATTTCCTATCAATCCATGGAGCGATTTGCCATATTAATTTGGCCGTTCATCTGCCTTTAGAATCTCCTTCCCATCGACGTTGCCATGTTAGCATTGTTACCTCTCTGACATTTTTCTTTGCTTGACGGTTTTCTACGTTTTCTTCTCGTTGATAGATTTTTTTGCTTTCATCTGCTATCAGAATAAGGAGGCCTCTTCTGGCAACTAGTTCCATCACACGTTTACCTCTTGAATCAGGGCGTCGCATGCCCCATTCCACCGCTTTTGCGTTGAAATCACCTGCTACAATTTTTTGTAAGTTGGTGTCTACAAGGAAATCTTCTAATTTGTCCAATTTATTTTGGAAATCGTTAATGCTTTCGTTTGAAGTGAAGTAGCAGCTAACAAACACAGTATCGCCGCTCTGGACCCATACAAAGCCTTCTTCAGATCCATGATTGTCTACAGGTACTATATTCGCATTTCTTATCCAGATAGCGGCAGCTTTTAACTTATCTCGAAACCAATTTTGATTATCGCTATCTTTATACTGATCACATAGTATCAGGACGTCAATCTGTTTCTCAAGAAGGATATAGGACAGCAAATCAGTTGCCGTTCGACTTCTGTTCAAGTTCCCCTGGAGTACGTTGCTCATCTTTCCTGCTTTTCCTTTTCATTTCTGAGCTCTTCTCTAAAAACTTGGCACTTCCCTGTTCCAGGAACATGATTTGTCAATTCCTTATCGAGTTTTTGATCCGTACACAGGACGCAACTTAATAACAACTTAATAATTTTAACATTTCTTAATTTAAAACGAAACATCTTCTATTATATTAAGTTAACAAATTTCGTAAAACGACACCGACCCCGTGACCTAGACACCGTCCTTGAAAAATCTATTTTCAATTATTTTCAAATAAATCAAAATACTTTGCATATATGCTGTTAGAAAATTTTACAAACTATTTTTATGTAACATCTTTTTGCAATTTTAACCCGCAAAAGGGTTATTTTGCAATTTTTTAAGAATTTTTTGATTTTTTTAATTTTTTATTATTATTTTTTATTATTTATTGTTGTTTTTTCAATTTATAGTTAGTAACCTATAATATTGTGTCTAATTTTAAGTGTCATTAAAATCAAATGTTTTTAACTTAATAATTTTAACATTTCTTAATTTAAAACGAAACATCTTCTATTATATTAAGTTAACAAATTTCGAAAAACGACACCGACCCCGTGACCTCGACACCGTCCTTGAAAAATCTATTTTCAATTTTTTTCAAATAAATCAAAATACTTTGCATATATGCTGTTAGAAAATCTTACAAACTATTTTTATGTAACATCTTTTTTCAATTTTAACCCGAAAATGGGTTATTTTGCAATTTTAACACGAAAAAGGGTTATTTTGCAATTTTTTAAGAATTTTTTGATTTTTTCAACTTTTTATTATTTATTGTTGTTTTTTCAATTTTTAGTTAGAAACCTATAATATTGTGTCTAATTTTAAGTGTCATTAAAATCAAATGTTTTTAACTTAATAATTTTAACATTTCTTAATTTAAAACGAAACATCTTCTATTATATTAAGTTAACAAATTTCGAAAAACGACACCGACCCCGTGACCTCGACACCGTCCTTGAAAAATCTATTTTCAATTATTTTCAAATCAATCAAAATACTTTGCATATATGCTGTTAGAAAATCTTACAAACTATTTTTATGTAACATCTTTTTTCAATTTTAACCCGAAAAAGGGTTATTTTGCAATTTTTTAAAAATTTTTTGATTTTTTCAATTTTTTATTATTATTTTTTATTATTTATTTTTGTTTTTTCAATTTTTAGTAAGTAACCTATAATCTTGTGTCTAATTTTAAGTGTCATTAAAATCAAATGTTTTTAACTTAATAATTTTAACATTTCTTAATTTAAAACGTAACATCTTCTATTATATTAAGTTAACAAATTTCGTAAAACGACACCGACCCCGTGACCTCGACACCGTCCTTGAAAAATCTATTTTCAATTATTTTGAAATAAATCAAAATACTTTGCATATATGCTGTTAGAAAATTTTACAAACTATTTTTATGTAACATCTTTTTGCAATTTTAACCCGCAAAAGGGTTATTTTGCAATTTTTTAAGAATTTTTTGATTTTTTCAATTTTTTATTATTATTTTTTATTATTTATTGTTGTTTTTTCAATTTATAGTTAGTAACCTATAATATTGTGTCTAATTTTAAGTGTCATTAAAATCAAATGTTTTTAACTTAATAATTTTAACATTTCTTAATTTAAAACGAAACATCTTCTATTATATTAAGTTAACAAATTTCGAAAAACGACACCGACCCCGTGACCTCGACACCGTCCTTGAAAAATCTATTTTCAATTATTTGCAAATAAATCAAAATACTTTGCATATATGCTGTTAGAAAATTTTACAAACTATTTTTATGTAACATCTTTTTTCAATTTTAACCCGAAAAAGGGTTATTTTGCAATTTTTTAAAAATTTTTTGATTTTTTTAATTTTTAGGGTTTCGTGGCCCATGGTTGAAAGCCTTATAGTTTCACTTTGGCGTCCGTCTGTCCGTAGTATATTTTGGGGCACCACAGCTCCCAAATTCAAATTTTGGGGCCCCACAGATCCCAAATTAAACTTTTGGGGCACCACAGATCCCAAATTCAAATTTTGGGGCCCCACAGATCCGAAATTCGAATTTTGGGGCACCACAGATCCCAAATTCAAATTTTGGGGCACCATAGCTTCCAAATTCGAATTTTGGGGCACCACAGATCCCAAATTCAAATTTTGGGGCACCATAGCTCCCAAATTCAAATTTTGGGGCCCCACAGATCCCAAATCTCCATTTACTGAATGGACATTTTCCCGAATGGACATTACATGTCCCATTAGTTAACATGCCCCTGTAATTGACATGTCCCAGTAGTTGACCTGTCTCAGTAATTGACATGTCTCAATAGTTGACATGTCCAAGAGTTGACATGTATAATAGTGGACATTATCGAAAGGACATTTTACCTAATGTTTTTGTTTGTGAAACAAAAAAGATAAATGATAGAAAAAAGACCTCCACTCCACAGCCACTCTTTCTTTTTTCTTTCATTTACCTTTTTTTTCAATTTTGATTTTTGACAATTTTTTATTTTCTTTGATTTCCATTTTTTAAAAATTTTGCCATACATTTTTTTTTATAATAAAAATTTTGCTAAATAAATAAAATTTAATAGTACATAAAATTTATAAAATAAATTTTATTATTTATTTTCAAATTATTTATTTTTGATTTATTTTTTTTTAATTAAAATTTAAAGTGCCACGAAACCCTAGATGTAGGCGCAATTGCGCCTAGTTCTTTTCCTATTTTTTATTATTATTTTTTATTATTTATTGTTTTTTTTTCTATTTTTAGTTAGTAACCTATAATATTGTGTCTAATTTTAAGTGTCATTAAAATCAAATGTTTTTAACTTAATAATTTTAACATTTCTTAATTTAAAACGAAACATCTTCTATTATATTAAGTTAACAAATTTCGAAAAACGACACCGACCCCGTGACCTCGACACCGTCCTTGAAAAATCTATTTTCAATTATTTGCAAATAAATCAAAATACTTTGCATATAGGCTGTTAGAAAATTTTACAAACTATTTTTATGTAACATCTTTTTTCAATTTTAACCCGAAAAAGGGTTATTTTGCAATTTTTTAAGAATTTTTTGAATTTTACAATTTTTTATTATTATTTTTTATTATTTATTGTTGTTTTTTCAATTTTTAGTTAGTAACCTATAATATTGTGTCTAATTTTAAGTGTGATTAAAATCAAATGTTTTTAACTTAATAATTTTAACATTTCTTAATTTAAAACGAAACATCTTCTATTATATTAAGTTAACAAATTTCGAAAAACGACACCGACCCCGTGACCTCGACACCGTCCTTGAAAAATCTATTTTCAATTTTTTTCCAATAAATCAAAATACTTTGCATATATGCTGTTAGAAAATCTTACAAACTATTTTTATGTAACATCTTTTTTTAATTTTAACCCGAAAAAGGGTTATTTTGCAATTTTTTAAGAATTTTTTGATTTTTTCAACTTTTTATTATTTATTGTTGTTTTTTCAATTTTTAGTTAGTAACCTATAATATTGTGTCTAATTTTAAGTGTCATTAAAATCAAATGTTTTTAACTTAATAATTTTAACATTTCTTAATTTAAAACGAAACATCTTCTATTATATTAAGTTAACAAATTTCGAAAAACGACACCGACCCCGTAACCTCGACACCGTCCTTGAAAAATCTAGTTTCAATTATTTGCAAATAAATCAAAATACTTTGCATATAGGCTGTTAGAAAATTTTACAAACTATTTTTATGTAACATCTTTTTTCAATTTTAACCCGAAAAAGGGTTATTTTGCAATTTTTTAAGAATTTTTTGATTTTTTCAATTTTTTATTAATATTTTTTATTATTTATTGTTGTTTTTTCAATTTTTAGTTAGTAACCTATAATATTGTGTCTAATTTTAAGTGTCATTAAAATCAAATGTTTTTAACTTAATAATTTTAACATTTCTTAATTTAAAACGAAACATCTTCTATTATATTAAGTTAACAAATTTCGAAAAACGACACCGACCCCGTGACCTCGACACCGTCCTTGAAAAATCTATTTTCAATTATTTTCAAATAAATCAAAATACTTTGCATATATGCTGTTAGAAAATCTTACAAACTATTTTTATGTAACATCTTTTTTCAATTTTATCCCGCAAAAGGGTTATTTTGCAATTTTTTAAGAATTTTTTGATTTTTTCAATTTTTTATTATTATTTTTTATTATTTACATTTGTTTTTTTAATTTTTAGTTAGTAACCTATAATATTGTGTCTAATTTTAAGTGTCATTAAAATCAAATGTTTGTAACTTAATAATTTTAACATTTCTTAATTTAAAACGAAACATCTTCTATTATATTAAGTTAACAAATTTCGAAAAACGACACCGACCCCGTGACCTCGACACCGTCCTTGAAAAATATATTTTCAATTATTTTCAAATAAATCAAAATACTTTGCATATATGCTGTTAGAAAATCTTACAAACTATTTTTATGTAACATCTTTTTTCAATTTTAACCCGAAAAAGGGTTATTTTGCAATTTTTTAAGAATTTTTTGATTTTTTCAACTTTTTATTATTTATTGTTGTTTTTTCAATTTTTAGTTAGTAACCTATAATATTGTGTCTAATTTTAAGTGTCATTAAAATCAAATGTTTTTAACTTAATAATTTTAACATTTCTTAATTTAAAACGAAACATCTTCTATTATATTAAGTTAACAAATTTCGAAAAACGACACCGACCCCGTGACCTCGACACCGTCCTTGAAAAATCTATTTTCAATTATTTTCAAATAAATCAAAATACTTTTCATATATGCTGTTAGAAAATCTTACAAACTATTTTTATGTAACATCTTTTTTCAATTTTAACCCGAAAAAGGGTTATTTTGAAATTTTTTAAGAATTTTTTGATTTTTTCAATTTTTTATTATTATTTTTTATTATTTATTGTTGTTTTTTCAATTTTTAGTTAGAAACCTATAATATTGTGTCTAATTGTAAGTGTCATTAAAATCAAATGTTTTTAACTTAATAATTTTAACATTTCTTAATTTAAAACGAAACATCTTCTATTATATTAAGTTAACAAATTTCGAAAAATGACACCGACCCCGTGACCTTGACACCGTCCTTGAAAAATCTATTTTCAATTATTTTCAAATAAATCAAAATACTTTGCATATATGCTGTTAGAAAATCTTACAAACTATTTTTATGTAACATCTTTTTTCAATTTTAACCCGAAAAAGGGTTATTTTACAATTTTTTAAGAATTTTTTCAACTTTTTATTATTTATTGTTGTTTTTTCAATTTTTAGTTAGTAACCTATAATATTGTGTCTAATTTTAAGTGTCATTAAAATCAAATGTTTTTAACTTAATAATTTTAACATTTCTTAATTTGAAACGAAACATCTTCTATTATATTAAGTTAACAAATTTCGAAAAACGACACCGACCCCGTGACCTCGACACCGTCCTTGAAAAATCTATTTTCAATTATTTTCAAATAAATCAAAATACTTTGCATATATGCTGTTAGAAAATCTTACAAACTATTTTTATGTAACATCTTTTTTCAATTTTAACCCGAAAAAGGGTTATTTTACAATTTTTTAAGAATTTTTTCAACTTTTTATTATTTATTGTTGTTTTTTCAATTTTTAGTTAGTAACCTATAATATTGTGTCTAATTTTAAGTGTCATTAAAATCAAATGTTTTTAACTTAATAATTTTAACAGTTTTTAATTTAAAACGAAACATCTTCTATTATATTAAGTTAACAAATTTCGAAAACGACACCGACCCCGTGACCTCGACACCGTCCTTGAAAAATCTATTTTTAATTATTTTCAAATAAATCAAAATACTTTTCATATATGCTGTTAGAAAATCTTACAAACTATTTTTATGTAACATCTTTTTTCAATTTTAACCCGAAAAAGGGTTATTTTGCAATTTTTTAAGAATTTTTTGATTTTTTCAACTTTTTATTATTTATTGTTGTTTTTTCAATTTTTAGTTAGAAACCTATAATATTGTGTCTAATTGTAAGTGTCATTAAAATCAAATGTTTTTAACTTAATAATTTTAACAGTTTTTAATTTAAAACGAAACATCTTCTATTATATTAAGTTAACAAATTTCGAAAACGACACCGACCCCGTGACCTCGACACCGTCCTTGAAAAATCTATTTTCAATTATTTTCAAATAAATCAAAATACTTTTCATATATGCTGTTAGAAAATCTTACAAACTATTTTTATGTAACATCTTTTTTCAATTTTATCCCGAAAAAGGGTTATTTTGCAATTTTTTAAGAATTTTTTGATTTTTTCAATTTTTTATTATTATTTTTTATTATTTACATTTGTTTTTTTAATTTTTAGTTAGTAACCTATAATATTGTGTCTAATTTTAAGTGTCATTAAAATCAAATGTTTTTAACTTAATAATTTTAACATTTCTTAATTTAAAACGAAACATCTTCTATTATATTAAGTTAACAAATTTCGAAAACGACACCGACCCCGTGACCTCGACACCGTCCTTGAAAAATCTAGTTTCAATTATTTGCAAATAAATCAAAATACTTTGCATATAGGCTGTTAGAAAATTTTACAAACTATTTTTATGTAACATCTTTTTTCAATTTTTACCCGAAAAAGGGTTATTTTGCAATTTTTTAAGAATTTTTTGATTTTTTCAATTTTTTAATTATATTTTTTATTATTTATTGTTGTTTTTTCAATTTTTAGTTAGTAACCTATAATATTGTGTCTAATTTTAAGTGTCATTAAAATCAAATGTTTTTAACTTAATAATTTTAACATTTCTTAATTTAAAACGAAACATCTTCTATTATATTAAGTTAACAAATTTCGAAAAACGACACCGACCCCGTGACCTCGACACCGTCCTTGAAAAATCTATTTTCAATTATTTTCAAATAAATCAAAATACTTTGCATATATGCTGTTAGAAAATCTTACAAACTATTTTTATGTAACATCTTTTTTCAATTTTATCCCGAAAAAGGGTTATTTTGCAATTTTTTAAGAATTTTTTGATTTTTTCAATTTTTTATTATTATTTTTTATTATTTACATTTGTTTTTTTAATTTTTAGTTAGTAACCTATAATATTGTGTCTAATTTTAAGTGTCATTAAAATCAAATGTTTTTAACTTAATAATTTTAACATTTCTTAATTTAAAACGAAACATCTTCTATTATATTAAGTTAACAAATTTCGAAAAACGACACCGACCCCGTGACCTCGACACCGTCCTTGAAAAATCTATTTTCAATTATTTTCAAATAAATCAAAATACTTTGCATATATGCTGTTAGAAAATCTTACAAACTATTTTTATGTAACATCTTTTTTCAATTTTATCCCGCAAAAGGGTTATTTTGCAATTTTTTAAGAATTTTTTGATTTTTTCAATTTTTTATTATTATTTTTTATTATTTACATTTGTTTTTTTAATTTTTAGTTAGTAACCTATAATATTGTGTCTAATTTTAAGTGTCATTAAAATCAAATGTTTTTAACTTAATAATTTTAACCTTTCTTAATTTAAAACGAAACATCTTCTATTATATTAAGTTAACAAATTTCGAAAAACGACACCGACCCCGTGACCTCGACACCGTCCTTGAAAAATCTATTTTCAATTATTTTCAAATAAATCAAAATACTTTGCATATATGCTGTTAGAAAATCTTACAAACTATTTTTATGTAACATCTTTTTTCAATTTTAACCCGAAAAAGGGTTATTTTGCAATTTTTTAAGAATTTTTTGATTTTTTCAACTTTTTATTATTTATTGTTGTTTTTTCAATTTTTAGTTAGTAACCTATAATATTGTGTCTAATTTTAAGTGTCATTAAAATCAAATGTTTTTAACTTAATAATTTTAACATTTCTTAATTTAAAACGAAACATCTTCTATTATATTAAGTTAACAAATTTCGAAAAACGACACCGACCCCGTGACCTCGACACCGTCCTTGAAAAATCTATTTTCAATTATTTTCAAATAAATCAAAATACTTTTCATATATGCTGTTAGAAAATCTTACAAACTATTTTTATGTAACATCTTTTTTCAATTTTAACCCGAAAAAGGGTTATTTTGCAATTTTTTAAGAATTTTTTGATTTTTTCAATTTTTTATTATTATTTTTTATTATTTATTGTTGTTTTTTCAATTTTTAGTTAGAAACCTATAATATTGTGTCTAATTTTAAGTGTCATTAAAATCAAATGTTTTTAACTTAATAATTTTAACATTTCTTAATTTAAAACGAAACATCTTCTATTATATTAAGTTAACAAATTTCGAAAAACGACACCGACCCCGTGACCTCGACACCGTCCTTGAAAAATCTATTTTCAATTATTTTCAAATAAATCAAAATACTTTTCATATATGCTGTTAGAAAATCTTACAAACTATTTTTATGTAACATCTTTTTTCAATTTTAACCCGAAAAAGGGTTATTTTGCAATTTTTTAAGAATTTTTTCAACTTTTTATTATTTATTGTTGTTTTTTCAATTTTTAGTTAGTAACCTATAATATTGTGTCTAATTGTAAGTGTCATTAAAATCAAATGTTTTTAACTTAATAATTTTAACATTTCTTAATTTGAAACGAAACATCTTCTATTATATTAAGTTAACAAATTTCGAAAAACGACACCGACCCCGTGACCTCGACACCGTCCTTGAAAAATCTATTTTCAATTATTTTCAAATAAATCAAAATACTTTGCATATATGCTGTTAGAAAATCTTACAAACTATTTTTATGTAACATCTTTTTTCAATTTTAACCCGAAAAAGGGTTATTTTACAATTTTTTAAGAATTTTTTGATTTTTTCAACTTTTTATTATTTATTGTTGTTTTTTCAATTTTTAGTTAGTAACCTATAATATTGTGTCTAATTTTAAGTGTCATTAAAATCAAATGTTTTTAACTTAATAATTTTAACAGTTTTTAATTTAAAACGAAACATCTTCTATTATATTAAGTTAACAAATTTCGAAAACGACACCGACCCCGTGACCTCGACACCGTCCTTGAAAAATCTATTTTTAATTATTTTCAAATAAATCAAAATACTTTGCATATATGCTGTTAGAAAATGTTACAAACTATTTTTATGTAACATCTTTTTTCAATTTTTACCCGAAAAAGGGTTATTTTGCAATTTTTTAAGAATTTTTTTCAACTTTTTATTATTTATTGTTGTTTTTTCAATTTTTAGTTAGTAACCTATAATATTGTGTCTAATTTTAAGTGTCATTAAAATCAAATGTTTTTAACTTAATAATTTTAACAGTTTTTAATTTAAAACGAAACATCTTCTATTATATTAAGTTAACAAATTTCGAAAAACGACACCGACCCCGTGACCTCGACACCGTCCTTGAAAAATCTATTTTCAATTATTTTCAAATAAATCAAAATACTTTGCATATATGCTGTTAGAAAATCTTACAAACTATTTTTATGTAACATCTTTTTTCAATTTTATCCCGAAAAAGGGTTATTTTGCAATTTTTTAAGAATTTTTTGATTTTTTCAATTTTTTATTATTATTTTTTATTATTTACATTTGTTTTTTTAATTTTTAGTTAGTAACCTATAATATTGTGTCTAATTTTAAGTGTCATTAAAATCAAATGTTTTTAACTTAATAATTTTAACATTTCTTAATTTAAAACGAAACATCTTCTATTATATTAAGTTAACAAATTTCGAAAACGACACCGACCCCGTGACCTCGACACCGTCCTTGAAAAATCTATTTTCAATTATTTTCAAATAAATCAAAATACTTTGCATATATGCTGTTAGAAAATCTTACAAACTATTTTTATGTAACATCTTTTTTCAATTTTAACCCGAAAAAGGGTTATTTTGCAATTTTTTAAGAATTTTTTGATTTTTTCAATTTTTTATTATATTTTTTATTATTTATTGTTGTTTTTTCAATTTTTAGTTAGTAACCTATAATATTGTGTCTAATTTTAAGTGTCATTAAAATCAAATGTTTTTAACTTAATAATTTTAACATTTCTTAATTTAAAACGAAACATCTTCTATTATATTAAGTTAACAAATTTCGAAAAACGACACCGACCCCGTGACCTCGACACCGTCCTTGAAAAATCTATTTTCAATTATTTTCAAATAAATCAAAATACTTTGCATATATGCTGTTAGAAAATCTTACAAACTATTTTTATGTAACATCTTTTTTCAATTTTAACCCGAAAAAGGGTTATTTT